AGGTTGGGGCGAACAGTTTGTAAGGGGACCAGGTTTGGATTCTACAATAAGCTGTGATCCAAGCGGCTTTGCCATCTACAAAATGGCATGTACCAGAGCGGGCTTGTACAAAATGATGATGCCTCAAGATTACTATCTTATGCTTACAAGGGCATAGCCAGCCATACAGCAAGGTGATTTCTCTACAAAAATTGTGTTCTGTAGGTGCCAAAAACTGCCTCGTTACAAAATGGCCCCTCTGTAAGGGCCTCAAGCTCTCCCTTTTTGTAGAGGAAATTTCAACGGGGATACATATTGACTGGCTTACCGGCAGCTGCAAGACTTTGAAATCTAAATGACCTGTAGGCAACCGGCTGATGCGAAAAGAGCATCGGGTTTTGTGGGGAGACAAATTGACTTTGGTTCCAATCATGATGGTTCCCAGCCTCTCTGACACCAGCCGCTTGCCAACCGTATGGGAGGGCAGCCTGCTAAGCCGATGGAGTCTCCCAAATTGCGTGTTCCAAATCGAAATTCCACGGTCAGATGCTCTCTTGCCCTTCGGAAAACGACAGATCGTTGCATCTTCTCAGCGCATTCAGAACTGAATGTTCCACCCTTTCCACAAACATGTTCCGTGGTCTTGTAGGAGCAGCTGTGCACTTTTGTTTCCAAGTCAGGGAGGCCAGAAGCCCTAGAAGGGTGGTCTCTCTGGCGCAGGCCTTGCATTCGACAGGTGGCGGGAAATTGATCGAGGTGAAGCGAAGTGTAGGGTGCTACATATACAACACATTGTTTCATCTGGCAGCTTTACAAAGAGGCATCAGGGTGGAAGGATCCATGCGTGTACACGGCAGCACGGACCATGGGCTGTGCATGGCTTTGGCAAGGTATGTGACCAGGAAGGAACTTTCATGCAGATGGCACTTTGGCTGGGCAGCTAAGGCGCCGGCCTGCTAAGCCGATGGGGTCTCCCGTGTGGGATTCCAATGTCGACATTCAAAGGTCAACCCGACCCGCCTCTTATTCGCACCCCTATAACATGTTTTTGTTTTCGACTGATCAAGTTTGGACAAACATCTCCTGCAGTCTTCTCGGAGCACCAATGATGTAGATGCCACACTGGATGCTTTGCGCAAGGGTAAGCCGTCTACACTTCTGTTGCCGAACCCCGTCAAATTGCATCTCCGTTAGAATGCCATCCAAGGGGTCGCGCCACCTTTTTGTAGCCCTCAGCTTGTGTTGCACACACACCCAAGGAAAAAACAGGTACCAACAGATGGGCGCAAACAGTACAAATTGGGATGTCCAACCTTGGAGGCATCCGGTACCTCTTGGCCAGAAAGCCAGCTTTCAAACATCACCTGATCCTCAAATGTCAACATCTTGAGTTTGATTTAGAACCTAACAATTTGTAGCAGCATGGTCTGCTAGTAGAAAAGTCACATGATGACATTTCGCCACCCTTTGCCATGACTCGGGCGTTGCCCCAAACCGCAAAGAAAGTTGATCTGCATGTCTATAAATTGGTTTTGTATTTCTGGTACCCTCGACCTGACTACAACATATCCCTCTACAAATTGGATAGGGAATTGAGGACCGACCTCCAGGCTGAGTAGCAACGAGGTTTGTACAGGCCGCAAGGCCATCCAGTACCTAGATTGCAGAAAAGCTGGCTCCTGTCTCAGCCTTGGTTCCGATGTTCGGCAAGAAAGCATCAAGACTCACGCCAAGACAAATTGAAGTTGCCAGGTCTTGAGGTCAGGTCATTGTTCCACATCAGTTTGGACATCGACATCCTTCATCAACGAATTGAAGCCTCTGCGATGACTGGAAAAAACTGGAAAGTCACGATGCTCTGCCACAGAGAGCAAGACAGTTTTGCTGCTGTTCCAAGCAGGGAAGAAAACAGAGACCTGCTGTTGCTTCTCTGAAATCCATGTGAATGGTTTTTGATGATGTGGTTCGCAGGCGCATGGCTTTCCTAAGCGTACAATTGGCACTGTTGTAGTTCTGAAAACTTGCACGCAGGGGGTTCTCAAGCGATCATGCTCTTTGAGGAAACCATGTCTTGACCATCCTTGACAGTCCTTTGATTGCAAAGACTTGCTGCACTGACTGGTATGCATATGTTGGACAAATACTGGATCTAATTGGGCCAAATGATTCTGCGAATGGCAAACTGCGCAAAGCCCACTCTCGCTTGAAGGCAGGCCACTTTCAGACCAAGTTGGGAAACAAAACATCTGCTGGGTTGCCCGGTTCGGAGCCTTAGGAGCGAAACAAATGGCCCGGGTCGGCGCAGAAAAGCCGGGTCGCGACCGTTTCATTCAAACTGAGACGATCCGCTTGGCTGACATCGCAAGAGACGGTGGATTTGGGTCTGACTGGGCCAAGGGCTCGCAGACCATCGTGCGCCTGCAGCCCAACAATCCAAACGAATCCCGTTGGTCCATTCTATTCTGCAGCACGTAGGCGCAGCTGAGCCTACCTCTGCAGCAAAGCAACCAGCCTCTCACAGAGTTCCGTTTGCAAGCAAAAACAGCCTCCTGTAAGCTCCGCGAAAGCGATCTCAAAAAACAACGCGGCTCAATTAAGGCGGCTGTCCGATCATTTTGCTTTTGCGGAGTTTTCGCCATGTGTTCGCACATGCACGTTTCCTTTCAGATTGAAACGACAAAATTTAAAGTGCGTGCATTTAGGCGTTAAGTCATGCGTTTGACCCTTCAAGAACTTCGGATCGCGTTTCGCAGAACCTGCTCACACACACCCCTGTGTTCCGGGGCGGGTTGGTTGACAGATCAAGCAAGTAGGTTTGGCCTTTGAGAGGGGCGAAGGACCAGTTTCGCACATTTGGCGGTAAGATCAGCTGTCGTTTGAAGTGCGCAGCAGTGCTGCATTGCACGCCAAGGGAGGGACAATTTCTGCGTTCAGGATTCTACTTGTCAATCCGGCTTGGAAGTCAGACTGCAATCGCTAGGCATCAAATAGCGCCGTCGAACGCTGCCTAGCTTAGGCATGTCAAAAACTAAGAAGATCAAATGATCAAGTGGACCTCAAAAGCCCCCACTGCTGGGCGTCTTCGCTTTCGAAAGACAAACCTGTAAGCCAGTAATTGCAAGGCAAAAACACACTTCGAGATTGCACCTCTCTGAATATGACACTTGAACAAAACTTTACGACGAATCAGTCTCGACTACCCACCAGTGGGGTAAAGTTCACTGCCGTGTTGTTCTATCTCAAAAAACAAAAACACATCCAAGTGCTATCCCCAACAACAAGACCGTTTGCCTAGCCGTGAAGCCCATGTACCTCAGCACCAAAAGTTTGTGGA